GGCGAAGCTCGAATTGATGGTACACGACTTGGCCGCCCAACTTGCACGGGTCACGCGGTGATCACAAAGGAGCCACCGATCGAGCTCAACTTCTGTTAGATCGAGTAGCCCGAGATCGAGTCACGAGGACTATGATCGATAGATGACGAAGACACGCGCATCGAATCGGCGCGAGGACCAGATGCATGAAAAGTCGAGGCTCACGATGCCTATGTTCACATGGGCTGATCTGAATGCGTGGCTAAGCCGAGTCGTGCAATACTTCGACATCAATGATGTAACACCCCACTTTTATTTGACGAAAGTCAACGACTTTTTAAAAGTCAACTTAAAATTTTTGAAATTCTTTTTGTAAATCAATGACGTTACTCATCATAAATTCATAAATCATCAACACATAAATCATACTCGCAAGTATCATAAATCATAATTCAACGTTCAACCAACGTGTTCATAAATCCCTAGTTCATCAAAATTCAAATGGGAACATCTCTCTATCCAATGTTTCAACATCCTAGAGTTCGTAAACTCTAAATCATAAATATCCAAAGTCATGAACCGTAAATCCACAGTTTTCAGTGCATATTAAAACCAGTGTTCATAAATACGTTAATAATCCAAAGTTCATAAATACATGCGGAATCTACTAAATGAGGCCAGGTCAAACGACCAGCCACCACTCGTCTTTGCCTCATCATCCAACACACGCTTAACCTGCATCCATGAAGAGCAGGTGGAGATGAGTACAATTGAAATCTGTAGTGCTCACCACTATGCACATGAACAATAATAAAGTACGAAAAAGTAAATGGTATGGTCGCAGTATGAACATAAATCAATCATTTATCCCAATCTTCTATCCCAGAGGCAACTCTCATGTGTACACCTATAACAATAGACTACTGCTGATACACGTATCGAATTCCCTCGCTCGAGCCTTACATCGATGCCCAAACAGTAGGAGGCTCAACTGTCAGCACCTAGTGCTTTAGACAGGTAATACATCGTTGTCAGCACCTAGTGCTTTAGACAAGTAATACATCGCTGGTCGAGCACCGCACTGGACTTACAAGCGACGCATCCTTCGCTAAGGACTAAAGAATAAATTACCCTCGCGGGGTACACTCTATAACTACGGGGATAACCGTTCGACGGCCGGTACAGCTCACATCGAAGGTTACATGTTCACATGCATACATTGATTATACCCACATAAATAAAAAATTATCACTCATGGCATAGACATTTTATATAAAACTCACCTGGATTACGAAGTAGGAGATAGCACAAGTACAACAAGTAGTGACGTAGGTTGAGGCTCGACTCCTCAAACACCTACAATAAGTCAAGATACTACGATCAACACCTATCTTGACCTTAGAAGGAACACAAATCATACTTAGTCGAACTTGATTCAACTGAGTCGTTCTTGGAGTTCTGTACACATTGGAACACTTGGATTCTAACACTTAGAATCGACTCAAAACCAATCATGAGGAAAACACTTAAATTCAAGATGGTCGGGTTAACGAACGAACTAAGCTCTAAAATTTTATCAAAGAATTAACCTTAACGAACCTAGCAATATCACCAAGTTTCAGCCCTTAACTCAAAATACACAATTTTAAAAAATTAAACAAAGTTTTCAGAAAAAACGAGCACAACTCGATTTTTATATCCAATTTACAAGATTCTACCCAGAAATTAAAACAAATATTAAAATAGCTACAGTTGGAACTGAATCATGAAATTTTTACACGACATGCATAATCATATGAGGATGTCATATATAAAAAATCAATTCATTTGGAGAGCATCCCACTCTCCCTTCAGATCTCTTTCATTAATGTGAATATCTCAAACACCTTTTTAAGGGTTTACAGTATAGACTCCCTCTATACTCTACTTGAACATTGATTTACAAACTACTTATCTGACCACAACTCCCTTGTGGGTTTTCTAGTTAGAATTCCTCAAACTATACAGAATGAACCTCGAAACACTATGTTGTTAATACTCACAGAAAAATGACTTCTCCAGAATTTCACACTTTTCTCACAAAATAAAACATAATGAAATTAATAAAAAAAGGAGCAACGAAGTCATTCTCAACATCAGTCTCGACCTCCTTTATCTTCGAGCTTCATTCGGAAAATCTTCTCCTTATCTTTTCGTCCAAGTTAAACATTCACAAGGAAGGTCTTGATATTTTGGACCGCAATCTCTCACTTGCAATTAAGGAAGGTGAATCCCGATTTTATTCCCACTAACCTGCCAAAATAAAACCCTTATAATTATTCAATGATAATTAATAATAACAAAATTTCCAAACAACTTCCCTTAAATATTTTCACGAATTTCTGAATCTTGTGAACCCCAAAAGGTTCATCGATTTACTGCCAATCTTCAAAATTTACAGAATGAATTAAACGCACGATGATTTAGAGCGTTTTAAAGTCGAGACATAGCCACTGGTACACAATCCGAGCTCAACAAAGTTCAGCCTGGAAAACTCGCGAGCGCGAATCCATGTTCGCGAGCCTCGCCCATTTCGCAAGCGCCCATTGAAGTTCAAGATTGAAAACTCGCGAGCGCGAATCCATGTTTGGTCCTTTGCATTTTAATTATCTAGCTTCATAATATCATTTTTTCTTTTTTGGATCTTATCTTATGTTCTAATTTTTCTCTCTAGACTAAAGAGCTTATGTCATTTTTCGGTGGTTTCTCCGGCGACTTTACTTTTATTCAAGTTCATATCTTTTACTTCGATTTCGATCAAGCACGCGCTAGGGATGTGAGTACTTACTTTTAAGACTTATAATCTCGATTTTCACACTTATTTGCTATCTCGCTCGTAGAAGTGACTAGGGCTTGCTCGATTTTGGGATTTTTATTGTTTTTGTTGCTTGCTTGAGTGATTGTAGGGATTAATTGATTGTCTATCTCAATTAAGGGTTAAGACTCGATTAGAGCTTAATGATTTAAGGTTAGGATTAATTACCTAGTGCTCGAAACTTGCGTATTTCTCTTTGTTAGTTGTTTTTTCCTTTTTATTGTGTCAATGACATGAAACTCTGGTAGTTTAGTTTCACTATTAGCTCGTTATTTGCAATTGCTCATGATCGTTTGCGTACTTAGTGTTAATTCAACTCTTAACAAATCGTTTAGAATGTTTAGGATTTATCTTCTCTTTTGTGATTTGGACAATTAATTAGTGAACCAAGCTCCGAATAGTCTTCCTTTGAGAACGACTTGAGTCCGGTAGTTTGGTTACCTCTTTCCCACAAAAATACTACAAAACAAATAGCCGAACTCATTGCGAAAGTACTTTGGCGACCTGCGAGATGGTATTGTGCAGCAGCCTTGGCCCGAACTCGCTGCAAAACTACTTTGGCGACCCGCAAACGCGCCAAGCTACACTATTACATGCCCACACTCTCTGCAAAACCGGTTTCGAGACCCGCGAACTGCAGAATTTTGATAAATGTGTGTGTTTCTAGTGTGTGTTTGTGGTGTAGCTATAAATAGACATTGTGTTTTGTATTTTTGAAACAACCCCCTTATTTCCCGACTTTTAAGTTTGGAAATCATCTCTATTTTCTCTCTTTCCTTTTTATGCTTTGATTTGAAGATTCATAACTTACTTTTCCGGCGAAATTCTAGCAAGCTTATTTTTATCCAAGTTCCGAGCTTTATTCATTATTTTCATTCGGGCACGCGATAGGAAAGTAAGTACCTTACTTAGGAATTACTACTTCGAGTTTGTTCTTCGAATTTTGTGATTATGCTCGTGTATAGGTTTTTGCTTTATTTTCATTACTTGCTTCGTGTGTGAAGAATCAATACGTGCTTATCTAGTATAAAGGTCTCGACGTTGTTCAAAGCGTGATGATATAGTGTAGAAAACTCGTGCTTGGTCACCTAGGATCACTATGCTCGCATGTTTTCTCTTTGTTTATTTGTGTTGAGTTATGGATACTCCGTGCTACCAAAGTTTCGATCTTTCTCCCCAATCTTGCATTTTTCATCATTTACTCTAGATTTTTAGTTTAATTTTATGCAAATCCAATCCCTTCAAGCGAATAGAATCTGTAAGACTTTGTTTTGGGTTATGTGATTTTAACGACTAGGTAGTGAACGAAGCTCCAAACAACCTTTCTTTGAGAACGATCCGAGTCGGATAGCTCGGTTACCAGATACATACAAAAACTACAAACAAACTTTCAATTTGGAAAAGTCAGAGATTCCAAAAACAAATTTCTTTAGGGCTATATTAGTCATATAAACAACAATAAGTATGTTTACAAACAAATTAAGTGTTATATTAGTCATAGTATTATGGAATTACCCAAGTCAGCTTTTCTATATTTATGGAATATGTACGAACTCAAAATGATTGATTTTTTTAGAATAACATTATTTTTTATTCAAATCAAACTACGAACCATGATTTTTCGTCAAATATAATTGTAAAGCACACGAGACTGTCATTTAAGCTCTGCGTATTCTGGAATAATATATGTAGGGGATATAGGATTGGAGGTTTATAATTTTTTATTTATTATTATTTTATTGTTAGAGATACTCATACTACTAAGTAATCCGTGGCAGAAAACAAGTTGCGAATAAACTAAACTAATAAATAGCAAGCTCCATAATATTGTCCGATTAATTGGACTTCGAGATTTGAGACAACAGATGGGCTTACATAGAAACACCAAAATAGTCTCCATATTATTATATATAACCACCTTAATTTTAATGTCAATAAAAATTAATTAAACAAGAACAATATACAAAACCCTAGGTCACTTGGGAAATGGGAAACACGTGAGCCCATTAAGATAAAAACACCCCGACCAACTCCTTAATTATTAATTAACCCAAATTGTCTCAACAAACCATTTTTTTTTAATCTTACTATTTTGAATTACAAAAAAAAAATAATAATAAAATAAAAAAAAGTACAAATATTATTAATTATTTGGTTGATTTGATCCCTAACAGAGAGGCGACCTATGAGGAACACCTTTCCTTCTGCTCATCATGCTAGTGGCCATGTCCTCTTCCGTAATTATCTTACTCGACGACAATCTTCCACAAAAATAAAGCCCACTTCTCTTCTTCCTCACAATGTCGGTGCACGAGAAGCTCATCATCATGTTTTCCGAGCCGGACGAGCCCGAATAAGAGCTCAACGGCCCGTCCATGCTGTAGTCGACTACTGTCGAATTAGGCGTCTCGTTTGTTCCGTCGTCTTCGCATGTCTCTTGTGGAATGAAGAAGTCTGGGCTCAGTTGGAGGGTTTTGCAAACCCTCAACAAAGGAGATAGGTCCTTGTAGTGTTTCACCACAAATTCAACCTGATTATAATAATTCATGGGACCAAATTAATCATCTTAAATTTCATCAATATTATGTAGTAATTACTAATCTCAGATGGAATCAAGAATTGACACATTAGGGTTTGCTTATATACAAGTTTTTTTTTATTTATTTTTTTATTTTTTACTTGTTTTTTTGTTAATTAAAGGTTAATTTTGACCGCCTTAAGTTTAAGTGGAATTTTGAGTTGATAATAAAATAATATTATAACCAAATAATTAATGTTAATGTGGTGTAAAAAAATGAAGAGATGCCACTGGAAGTGATGATTATGTGACTGAATGAATAATGTAACAAAATTAATTCGATATATAAGAATAGTTGATTATATTATTTAATTATATATGTTGATAATATAATTGAGATAGTTGAATTGGATTAAAATTGAGTTAGATTTGAATTGAGATTGAATATATATATAAAAAAAATTGTATCCAAGCATGAACTTATAATTTAACTTCCTGGTTTTCCAAGTTTGACTAGATTGGAAGGAAAAATAACTGAATAAATTAATGCAATCATATAAATATATACACTAGTGTGAATCCATACATAATTACCGCTGTAAAAAAAAAAAAAAAAANACACACACACACACACATGCACTGATGCACACACAAAGGAATCTGAAACCCAGTAAGCACCCATGTTTGACCGTACTACTATTTGTGACTTGTTAATTTATCAATAATGTAAAAGATTAAAAATTTAATGGGACAGTGTCCACACTTAATTAATCACCTCATATGGGTTACTTTACTTTACCGTTTTGATGGGCAAAATTTCAAAAAATGGTCCATTATGTTGGTCATTTTCCAAATAAATTCCATCATCTAGGGCGTCATCAAGAATGGTCCACTAAATTGTCAATTTAATCACAATTCGTACAATAACCAACAGAGTGTACTAACAGTGATCACTTTTAGTTGTCATATTTAGTACACTATGTTGGTTTTTGTACGAGTTTTGATTAAAATTACAACTTAGTGGACCATTTTTTAAAACGTCTTATATGATGGACCATTTTCAGAAAATGACCAACATAATGTACTAAAAATGAAATATAACCAATATATAAAAATTATTTATGGAATAATTCAATTTCCAATTATGCAATAACCCAAGTGAACTTTACCTTACACGAGTTAAATTTTGTAATTGAGACAGATGAAAAAAAATAAAAAAATTAATGAGTAAAATTAGAATTGAAGTTAACAATTAACACAAATTAGAATTGAAGTTAAAAATTAATGAGTAAAATTTTGTAATGAAACATGTTCATTTTTTTTTGCCCTGACGTACGGTAGTAGCACTGAACAATTAAAGGCTGCAGGCGTACCTTGCAGGCTAGAGAGCAATGGATAAATGGGTCTTGTAAAGACCTGTCACAAGAGGTGCAATAATTTCCAGACCCTTTGAACTGCCTGTTTTGAGGCCTCTTCTTTATGAACACCACTTTTGCAGCGTTGATCGTATACGCCTACACATATTAAAACATGAATATATATGCATAATTTCAAATTACTCCAAAATTTCAAGTGTAACAATTTAATAATAACATATATTAGGTGAATTGAAGGCGAAAAAATAAAAATAAATTTTGGTCCGTTTATTTGTCTAAAGTCTCCTTTTCACTAACAAATTAATAATAACATATATAAGGTGAATTGAAGGCGAAAAAAAAAAAAATCAATATTGATCCGTTTACTTTCCTAAAGTCGCGATAATAGTGTGTTAATTATGTTGCAATCTGTATCGCTATTGGGGCGTCATCGCAAAAATGGTTCATTATTTTTTGGGATTAATGTTCTAAAATTGCTACAAATTGCAGCATAACGTACTGTCTTTTACGAGCAACGTCCCAAAAATGATACAAATTGCAACATAACTTACTATTATTGATGAAAGGAAAGTTTGTGTATAAAAAAAAAAAAAAAAAAAA